GCATCCCCTGCCTCAGTCTCTCATTCCTTTGGTTTTGAGGGACCTTGGGGCTACGTTACTTAAGCACTCTTCACCTCAGGTTCTTCTGTAAACCGGGAATAATAAAGAGTACCTACCTCACAAGGTTGCTGGGAAGGCTAAATAGTTCATACATGTAAAGCACTAAGAATTCAAGCACACAAGGGCACTCAATATACGCTACTGTTTCCTTCATAGCATTTCTCACAGTGAAATTCTTTTATGTTTTTCTTTACTTTTAAAAAAATCTTTTCTCCCATAGAATAAAAACTCCATGAGGACAGTTAACTCTTCTGTTTTGTTCAAAGTGCCAGGTTCATCCATATATACATACACACACACACACACACCTAATACATATATTAGTTGAGAATAAACAAATGAAGAAAATATTATATCAAAAACTTAGGAGAGTGTGGTGGCCATGAAAATGCTCCCCTCAGACCATTTGCTGTGGGAAATATAATTGACTGACAGCCTCACTGCTGCCTGCTGGGTCCACCACACCTGCACTGAGGCCAGGCTTTCTGAGGGTGGCTCTAAGTAAATGACTGAGCATGGCAGAGGTAACCAGGGCAGGTCCATTCGGGCAAACTGCCAGACCCTTCCTACAAGAAGTTTGGCCTGACATCTCCCCACTGGCAAAGTCAAGCCTTTCCTGGAGCTGCACTTCACTTCTTCCCTCCCTCTCTCTTTGCACAGGTGTCAGCCCTGCACTGTGGTCTGCAAGCTCTCACTGCCTGCTCCTGGTTCTTGCTCCCTCCCTAATAAATCTCTTGCACATCTAATAAAATGTTGGCATCTGCTTCATGGTAGACCCAAACTAACACACTCAGGACTTGCAGAAGCAAACCCCGAGGGGAAAATTTGTGAATAAATGATTAAGGTGCTCTCAGGAGAAACCAGTAAGGGAGAGAAACAGGATAGGAAAGGGATACAAGCCAAGTGATGGGTCAATTTCAGTCAAAATCTCTGCCTAACCTTTCAGGGAAGCTGGGCTCACCAGGGTAAGAATCACCCACTATTCAATTTCTAACCTTAAATTATGTTCATCTATGTGGTCCAATCAAGCTCACCAAACAGGATTTCACAACATATACTAGATAATGATATATACAGTATTACAATAAAATAACAATACTGCATATATAGTCCAATAATATTGTTCTTGTGCTTAGCAAATAGTAGGCACTCAATAAATACATATTGAATGAATAGCACAATATTTACAATATAAAATGCTTGAAAATTGCCACCACCCTATAAAAAAGACAGCACCCACACAGTTTTCACGCAATTTCTCTTTTTCCACAAAAATGTAACTCCCAAAATACACACGAAGTGCCAAACTTCTCCCATTCTTCTTCTCAGCGACATTCCTCTCCCAATGCAGGAGTCTCATTCTTTTTGCTCAACTTTGCCTCTCAAACATCAGTTCCCTGTCAATATAATTCTTTCAATCCACTTAAATTACCTAGGGAGAGGAAGGGAAAGAGGGCTAGGGCCCAGAACCCAAACCGGCAAAGGCCGCAATCCAACATGCTAACACGGCTGACTTGTGAGCATGGAACAAAGTTTCCTTGGCCTGGGCTAGAGGATAAAGACCAGAACGAAAGCAGACTAAGCTGCCTCCCTGGTCCTCTTCTCCTAGATCTCACCACACCAATGATAACTTGAATCCAAATGAGACATACCAAGGAAAAGAAGAGGAATAAAGATGTGAATGCTTAGAATCCATCCAAACCATCCATCCTAGAATTTCCCATGGAGGTGTTTCCTAACAGAGAGGCATTCCCTGGTCCATCTTACCTCACTAGCATAGAAGGAAGGAGAGGTGCTCAATAAACGTAAGTGAGGAATTTACATGCTATTGGATGTCTGCCCTTGGAATGTTATTATTACATACTTCTTTAAACACTTATGTTAGGAATGACAATATGATCCTCACCCTTATCTAATTATAAGGAAATAATTTATGAGCCATTAACTAGGCCCATGGCTTCATAAGGATTCATAAGTTAAGACTCGAGAAAAATATAGGCTTTGGGATTACAGCTAGGGGTTCAAATCCCAAACCTAGCTTCCTCTAGCCATGTGACCTAGGACAGATGAACCTGCTTCCTCACTGATGTGTATAACTATGTACAATGTTGTTGTAAGGAGTAGGAATAATACAAGAAAAGTGTCTGGCTCATAGGAGGTACTCAATAAAACTTGACTATTACGACAGTATGACAGTGTAGAGCTAAAAAATTGAAATCAAAACCCATGGGTAGTCTCATGTTGCCAGTTACCTCTATCAAGAACCCTAACTCTTTGAGTTTGCTTCCTCATGTGTAAAGTGAGCATAATCGCTGTTACTCATCTCAAAATATCATTTAAAAGATCAAATGTCTTACTACAGGTTAAGTGCTTTGGGAATTATAAGGCATTTATTAACATGATCTAAATGCTAACACATTTCTATCGTAGTGAGTTTTGATGCACAACTTTTTTAAATGCATCACCTACTTCCTTGCCTTACTGAATATCACTTCACCTCGAGATCTCAAGATCATACTGATGGCTGAGACGTTTTTGCCCTTTTTAAGTTATCTAGCATCAGACTGCTGTTTTTACATAGATTTTTTCCTAATTGTGGTAAAGTATAAATAAAATTTAGCATTTTAACCATTTTTAAGTGTACAATTCAGTGTCATTAAGTACACTTACAGTGCTGTGCAAACGCCACCCATATCCATCTCCTGAACTTTTCATCGTCCCAATCTGAAATCTGTACACATTAAACAGTAACTCCCCATTATCCCCTGATGTTTGCTGCTTTTTTTTCCTACTGTTTATCTGGCGTTTGTTCACTCATTAGCAACAACAGCTCATTTCTCTCCTTCCCACAAAATATACTGCTGGCTATAACTTGGGAGGAACCGCAAATGCCATTTTTAAACCAGTAACATTCTTTGGCCTGAAACACGAATACGATCTGGTTCCAACCCAGTTTTTCAACTCTATTTCTATTCAGAATCCAAAGTTTAAGTCAAAGTCAACAACTACCTTTCACTGTGCTTTCTTCTTTCCACACCTCTGCTCACACCTTCTTCACCCTTTGGAATGTCTTTCCTATTCACCCCTTCACACTCTGATCTGTCTATTGGAATCCTTCAGGGCCCAGCTCATATTCTCTCTTTTCCACAAAGGCTCCTTGACCACCTCATATGGTCCCTCTCTCCTTTGATCTCTTACAGCAGCTATGATGCAAATTACTCATGATCAAAATTGTACACTGCAGTTGTTTCATTTATGTCGACCTGAGCTCCTCAAAACAGCAATTAAGCTATATTATTTTGTTCATTCAATCATATGTCCATATATTTATTACTCATTCAACAAATACTGTCCACTGTGTATAAAGTGCCCAGCAAATGTGTGAATAAACACAATTCTAAGTCACTAGACTTTGATGGATGATTCAATAAACTCAAGCTCTTCTTCTGTTTGGATTTTGTAAAAAATAATTTTATTTACCTCTTGGGTCTTAGTTGTGCTCCACACAGTTAATAATCATCTATAGTATAATAATAATCCTAATACATCAGCTACCTATCAAATCAGTTAAAACCTGTTTATTTTGGCAATTTGAAAATTTACGTTGCACAATTAAACCTGAATGATTCTGTTGATTCTAAAAAGCCTTCAACGCTCCAGGTAGCCAGCACTGTTCACAATTCCCACTTAGGGACAAGACTATGCAAAGCTGTCTTTTTGTTAGTGCCCTGTATTCTCGCCGGATATCAACGAAGGGAAAAACGTAAAGCGCGTCTAGCTTTCTTCATTTAGGTACACATGGAGGTGAATAAGAGCTGGTAGGAAGTGTTTGGGTCAGTGCTTCTTCGCCCGCAGCATAATTCCAACTGAAAAGTTACTGCCACTTGGCTTCTCATTGGCCAAGCCTCTCTCATTGGCCAAGGTAGGAAACTGCAAGGTTTTGCAGTTGGTGCCTCCAACCCTTGACCCGGCGCCACGCGCTATCCAATCAGCGCCGAGTACTGCGTTCCTCCAAGATCTTCCTCTTTCAGTATAGCCCTCTATGTGCCAGCAAAGGTAACGAATCCCCAAACATTCATGATAATACTTGCATTGCTATGCAAGCCACACGCGCATTCATGACTTCACTGACGCTCCTCCACAGCCCAAGGATATAAGCATTATTTCTATTACTCAGAAGAGGAGGCTGCTCCTGAGCTACAGGGCCCATGAACTGTAGGGCAGAAACGCAAATCCGGAGCTGGGACCACTCCTCGAAAAGGACTTTGGTCCGGCGGTGCACGGCCACTGCCGACCCTTCCCCAGCCTGGAGCTTTCCCGGATAACCCACCTGCCTTGGATTCTCGGGCGGCGGTTACCTTCCCTCGCGGCCCATTGAGCCGTAACCAGCCGCCTTTCACCAGGCTTCCCCAAAACAGGAAAACCACCGCCAAAGTGCGCGTCCCGGCCTGCAACCCGCAGCGCTTACAGGACAAGGCCACACATCTACCATCACCCCAAGGGTTACCCACGAACCCGAATCGGGCTTTGAGCGGCTGACTCCGGCTCCCAGCGCCAGCCCGTCCTCGGTCACCACAGACGCTCCCACCCCCCACCGGGCCCGCCCCTGCGCTCACAGGCCGCTCTAGCCGCGCACCGAGCCGGCAATCTCTTCGCTCCCGCCCTGACGTCATCGGCGGGCGCCGCGGCGCGGTGGCGGGCACGCGCGGCCGAGAAGATGTCCCCTACGCCGCCGCTCTTCACTTTGCCCGAAGCGCGGACGCGGTTTACGGTGAGCGGAAGGGGGGTGGGTGCGGCCCTGGCTCAGCGCTATTTTTTGCCCTCCTCTCCCTGAAATTACTCGAATTTTGCTCTGGGGTAAAGCGGGGACAGAGGCGTGTGCGCCGCGGCGACGGGCTCCCGGCCTCGTCGTGGGCTGGGAAGTGGCAAAGGCGCATTACCTGTCTCTTCCGCGCGTCCTCTGCGGTACGCCTCCACCTTCCCGCCAGCTGGTCCCAGGACCCCGCGTTCTGGGCGTGTCTGCGCCCTGCGTGGAGGGGTCATCCGCAGACTACCTCTGTCCGGGTCCAGCTCCTCTGCAGTGCTCTCTCAGCTGGTCAGGTGTCTCCAGAACTGGAAGGGGGCTGCTGAAGGGGGAGGGCGGGACTGACTTTAGCCCAGAGATTTGGCTCCCGCCCCGCCTCCTAAGCTGCCAGGTGGTTGTTCTGGCCGCTTATTCACCACCCTTTAATCCTCCGTATCTCATTCGTAAGAGATCGATGAGGAAGGTCCTAAGTGGGACAGGACAAACAGGTCAGCTTGGAAAGGGTTGTCAGCTGTCATTTTATTCTTACACATTGGGGAACAGTAGTTTAAGCATTTGGGAAACACTTTACAGAGCGTTTTCTTGTTAGCTTGTTTAACTCTTAGAATAGCACTGTAAGGAGGCTGTTTTATTATCCCTGGTAGATGAGATAGAAACTGAGTTAAGTTTAACTCTAACTCCAAAAGTTAAATGATTTACTTTACTGTTTTCTCTGACTTAAGACCCAGTATTCTTTTTATGTTGCCCATCACTAAATTGTTTGACTGTATTTTTCCCTAGTGCTCTGAAATTCTGCCAGGAGTAACTTAGGAATATCCAATATTGGTCCTGGAGGGGACCATTTAATGGGAGCTCATCTAGCCCAGTGCTTCTCAAGCTTGAGCATGAGGTGAGATCTCCTGGAGATCTTGTTAAATGTAGATTCTGGTTCAGTAGGTCTGGAATGGGGTCTGAGATTCTGCAGTTCTAACAAGTTCTCAGGTGATGCCACTGCTGCTGATGGTAGTAACAACCCTCATATTTAACTCGTGAGGAAAATGAAGCACAGAGGTAAGGGGGTATGCCCAAGATTACACAGCCTATTCACAGGCAGAGTCAGGAATGGACTTTTCCAGTATAAATGTAACTCCTGTGAGGTAACATTGATTTTCCAAGTGTATGTGAATTTTCACAGAATGAATGACTTGGCAATATTTTTGTCTTTCAATTATGACTGCTTTAAGACAACCAGCAGGTTTACTACTTTAAGACAATCAGTGTTTACTTGGTGTCAGGGGCTGTGCTGTGCAAGCTACCTAGACGAGGTAGGACTTTTTTTTTTTTTTTTCCGAGGTAGGACTTTTGATGGGTCTTGAAGAATGGATAGAATTTGCGTGAGCACGTGGGAGGAATAATGGGAATGAATACACTAGAGTGAGCTTGATAGAAAATGATGGGAAAATGGCTAGACCCTAGTGGAGAGTATGTGTTAGGGGGTACTGGGAAATGAGGTTGCATAGCTTGAGTGGGATAACATTATCAAGGACGTTTAGAGGAAGCTACGAAATAAGGAGCCACTTAGAGATTTTGTTTTTTAAAAGCAGGATACTCTCATGAATGGGATATTTAAAAAGAAAGGAGGAGGGAAAACCTGGAATAAGAAAGTCTAGCTGGGGAGCTCTTGCAAGGCTTAAAGTGATGAGTCTATATCAGTAAGTGGCATTTGAATAAGAATTACTGATAGAATGACTCATAGGTAATTTTTCCCAGGTATAAACATTTTTAAGTTAGACATACTATTGATGAGTGATATGTTTTTCAGTAAATAATAAGCAGAAATCTTTCCACTTATTTGCTATTTTTATTTTTCTAGAAATCTACCAGAGAGGCCCTGAACAACAAAAATATCAAGCCCTTGTTGAATACCTTCAGCCAGTTGCCTGGAAGGTAAGGCGTTGATATCCATGAAATAGGCTCGCTGAAATCTTTATACTTACCCTGAGCTGCTTTAAAAATGCAGGTGTTTTTTGTTTTTAATAGTGAAAATGAAAAAAAATGTACCCTTGACCAAGCTTTTAGAGGTGTTGTAGAAGAAGAAATTGTAAGTATGTTTTTCCTTTATTTATCGTTAGAATTTTGCTGGCAAATTAATATTATTTTTAAATTTGCTTTTATCCTTAGAATAGATATTTAAACATGACTATTTTTTCTAGAGTGAACGTGCTACTTTGTGAAACCTAACTTGGTCATAGTATAGGAGTTGTGTAAGGATTAAGGGTTTTAATAGCACAGTTTGACTTGTTTAAGGGTTTGGTTTAATAAATGAATAGAGCCCTCTGCAAGTGAATATGTATAAGAAAATTTGATAAGAGGTCTTCCTGAGCAAAAACTGTAATTTGAAGGTGAGCCCTCTCGCTTTGCTGTATAAACAGTGACACATCTTGTAGTGGCATAAAAGGTCTAGTCCAAGGATGTTCAGCATGGGAGCTGGGATTCCATGCCCTCATTTTCCTATGGCATCCCCTTATCAGTTCACCTGCAAAAATAACAATAGCCTATCCAACTTCAGTAGAGAAATTTAATCTAAACATGAAAAATCTGAATTTATTTACCATTAGTGGAGCACCCAAATGAAAGGAAAAGTTTCGATAGTTTATTCTTGGTTTAGCAAAGCTTAGATCTCAAGAAGCTAGACCCTTTTCCCGTGGCCATAAAACAGTGTCCCTTTCTTTTGGACAATTCTATGTCAAATTCATTCTTTCCTCTTCTTCAGACCTAGTCACTTACCTGTTGTCAGGTATTGGGCAAGTTACTTTGCTTTTCTGAGCCTCAATTTCATTTGTAAGAGGGGAAATACCATGTTTTCACGGTGGTTGTGTGAAACGGCACTTAATGTACACTCAATAAATGCTGGATTTTATGATGTTATCAAACCTAAGCACCACCTCTCTTCTATTAAAACCCTCCCTCAGACATATTGATGCACCAGTACAATTAATTCCCCTGGCCCTGCCATTGAGTGAGTTATGGCCTCAGCACATGTGTAGTTGATTAGCTTATAGCCTTAATCATGCTAATGTAAGGATCTTCCTAAGACTTGGATTTTAAGTGAATCACCTGCTGTTTAATTATTTGATATACTTCTACCGTTAGGGTTATTACTGTTCATTTCTTAAATTTTCATCTTAGAAAGTAATCTTATCTTCTGTGAGAAATATCTTTATCCAGTGTTTATGATAATCAACTTAGTGTCAGAGGATATGTTTTTCTTATTATCAAATTAGTCTAAAGTCTGGCTCCTAAATTAAGTTGTTTTCTCCTTTGTTGGTAGATAAATCATTCATCATGTGAAAACGTTTTAGCTGTTATTTCTCTTGCTATTGGGGGAGTTACTGAAGGTAAGTATGGGTTTGTTTTGTCTTTTTTAAAAGCAATCTTGGGCATGACATGTTTTATTTAAAACTTATTCTCCCCATACCTAATTGATTTTGTTCATTTTTAAAATTCTGCCTACCCCCTTTGCCAAGAAGTCCCATGGAAATTAGCTCACAGGTATTTCTTGTCACTAGTGTATACAGTGCACACTTTGGCACTTTCTTTGTTCTCCACTTGTTCTGTTCATCAGGTAAATATTTATTGAGCATCTACTATGTGCCTGGTACTGAACTAGGAATTGGGAGATTCATTGGTAAATAAAACATATTCGCTGCCTGTAAGGAGCCTAGTGGCTAATGGAGGAAACACGTCTAAATGTCTTACTGGGGTGGGGGGTGAAGTAGGAATGAAGTATGGTTGAAGTGATTCTCTAAACTTCAGAGTCTGAAGGAATCAGGATGGTCTTAGAAAGGAAACTGTAACATAAGAGCTGGGATGTGAGGGATGAGTAATTTGTCAGGCAGAAACAGAAGGATATAGCTATATAAAGACCTGGTTCAGCATGACTAAAAAAAATGTAGAGCAGAATGGTGAGAGGATGATGAGCATGGTGAAGAAAAGAAGCAGGAGGGGTAGGTTAGGGCCATTTGTAAAGGGCTTTGTGTGCCATGCTAAAGAGGACCTATGGAAGAGCCATTGGATTGGGAGAAACTGCTGGCAGGAAAACTAGGTAGAGGACAATTAAAATGGGGCAGTGGCAGTAGGGGATAGTTTCAAGAGACTTTTATTTATTTTTATTTATTTATTTATTTTTAGTTATTTTTATTTAGTTATTTTTGGCTGCGTTGGGTCTTCGTTGCTACGTGTGGGCTTTTCTCTAGTTGTGGAGAGCAGGGGCTACTCTTCGTTGCAGTGCACAGGCTTATTGCAGTGGCTTCTCTTGTTGTGGAGCCCAGGCTCCAGGCACGCAGGCTTCAGTAGTTGTGGCACATGGGTTTAGTTGCTCTGCGGCATGTGGGATCTTCCTGGACCAGGACTCGAACCCATGTCCCCTGCATTGGCAGGTGGATTATTAACCACTGCGCCACCAGGGAAGCCCCTCGAATGAGATTGCCAGGCTTTAGCTTTGTTTTACTGAATCAGAATCTTTGAGAGTGGAATTTAGGTAATTTTCTATAGTTACTAATGTGAGTTAACTTTTGCCAAAGTATACTTCTGCTAAGGGCAGGGAGTATGTCTCTCAAATCTCTTGGATATACAGGACATAAAAGTATCACAAATCTAAGTGTTAAAGGACTTTAGAGGTCATATGGTCCAATCTTGTCTCTGACCTAACCTGTCTCCCCTCAGTAAAGTCCTTGGCAGGTGGTCATCCAGCCTTTACTCCCATTGATGGAGCTCACTATTTGATTTCTGTTAGATAGTTCTGATGGTGCGATTTCCCCTTTGTATTGAGTTGAAATTTGCTGCTTTATGCCTCCCTGGTTCTAGGCAGTATCCCTCACATCACATTCCAGATATGATCTTACCAGTGCAGAGTAGAGCTGGAAATACTACTTCCTGTTTCTGAAGATACTGTGTTAATGCAGTAATTTGGGCTAATAGTACCCACTCAGTACTTTTTTTTTTTTTTTTTTACATATCATGCTGAAGTGTCTACTTTTCCTAAACACTTAACAAGTGTTAGTATCTATTACGTAAAAATAGAAGGAAGAATGAGCAGGGAGGTAAAAGTACTTTTAGCTAGCCTAGATGACCTTAAAGTCTTTAATTTATTGCTTTACTTTAGTAAGATTGAATTTAGAAATAAACAACTTTTTATTTTACCCTTTTTTCCCTTGAAACAATGGTATTATTGTAAAAGTTTAATGAGTTGAAATCAGTATCAAATCTTTTTTTTTTTTTAGAAACAAATATTTATTTTGCCACTTCAGAAGGTTTTTGAAAGCTTTAGGAAGAGTGGAAGAACAGAATTTTCAGTTTGAAGTTCATTTACCTTTTTTTTTTTAACATCTTTATTGGAGTATAATTGTTTTACAGTGATGTTTTGTTATCTTTTTTGAAGTAGTTCTTTCAAATCACAGACAACTTAAATTTTAGCAATAGTACAGAACATTTGGAAATGAGAAGGGAACATACTAGTCCTAATTCTTCCACTTTAAAAAAAACTACCATTTATTTTGGTATATGGTTTTAGTTTCTCTGGTCTTTTTAAAAGATTTTATTGTGATAACCATAATACCCATACAGTTTTGAACCCTGCCTTTTTCACTTGACATTATATCATAAACATTTTCCAAGTTATTATAGTTGTCATAACCATCTTTTTTAATTGGCTGCATTATATTCTTTTGAATAGCTTAGTGGTGAAGAAAACAGACTGTGGAGCCAGACTGCCTGGGTTCGTATCCCAGCTCTACCACTTACTGGCTCTGTGATCTTGGGCAAGTTATTTAACTTCTCTGTGTCTCAGTTTTCCCATTCTATAAACTGGAGATAATGTTATCTACCTCATAGGGTTATAAGGATTACAT